TGGGAGGGCTAGAAGGAGGTGGCTGGGGAAGGGATGGATGAGTGCAGTGTTTTGGTGAGGGATAACTCCATTGCTGAGTAGGTGAGAGCTGACAGGGAGCTGGAATCTGCTTTCTGTTGTGGCGTATAAGTGTTAGGAAGGGGATGGTTTGGGCAGGAAATGCATAAAATGGGCAAAGAGAAAACATCAAAGGACAGAGAAGGCGCCAAACTTGTGATCTCAGGCTTTGCGGGGGTGGGGGGCAGTTACTGTATTTCCTGGAGTGATGGTGGTGGTTTGTTGGGCGCCCGGTGGTGTGGCCAGTTCTCAGTGGTTCAGATGGCTGCGCTCATCAAGAGATGCAGATGAAGTGATCTGTGGGCCACGCTCCCTGCAGTAGGATAGCTCAGGTCGGGTTTCCCCAGGCCTTAAACATCCCACATGTGTAGCTGTGCTTGTTTACATGAGGAAAAAAAAAAAAGTGTGTGGGAGAACTTGTGCAGCTCCAACTCATGGAATTGTGCCTATCTTCACGAGGATATTATAGAATAATACCATCATATGCCAAAACCCACAATTTTTTTGCAGTACATGGGCTGTGTCACTGTGGGTACTGACCTAAATTACTCCAAGTGGTTACAGGTATGTTGGGTTTAGCCTCAGGATGTATCTCTTTGCACTACAGCTTTTGGGATAGCTGTGACTTCTATAGTAGAGAAGGAAGCTCATCACAAACTGTCTTCACAGTCTTTTAGTCCCTTTATGACATCCACAGGGCCTGCAAGAAAGGGAGCTGCAACTGGCAACCAGCTCCTGGCCCTGAAATGGTTTTATCTGCAAACTCTTTTCTAGTGTAGTTTGTCTGCCTTACCTTCCCAACACGTTGGCCTCTATCTGAAGGGCTAGTCTGGAGAGTAACATTGGAAGGATGATTTTTATTTCCAGCCTCCTTCCTTGCAAGTAACTGCTGCATCTGTTTTCCTGTCCACTCATCAAAGTGTTTGGTCCCTGCAAGTTCTGTAAAAAGATGTAGGTCACTTAATATCAAACAGCTTGATGACTGTCCCCTATTGACTTCTAAATGTGTTGGTGGACTCAGTGTCAAGTCCTTGGGTCTTGACACATATCATTAACTATTGTATTTGTTTTGCTCTGCAGTGGAGTTAAGGAGACTTCGAATGATCAGTCAATGGTTGGAGTCCAGAATTATTTGGAGGTAGGTCCTTGCTAATCCTGTTGTTAAAATGAAACCTCTAGGGTCACATTGTTGATCTACAGATATTGTCAAGGATAAATATTATTTTTAAATTTACACTCAATAAAAGACACTTGTATAGTGCTAAACACTATAATATTAAAAAAAATCAAAGTGCTGTAGAAATTATGTCAGTATACAGGTGGGAGAAATAGGCCAGGATAAAGTCAGAGACATTAAGATACTGATGGTGAAAGAGATGTAAACCGTTCAATGAGACTTGAAATTGGTGTATCTGAGTCCAGAACTATGATTCTGAGAACCTCTGCTCAGGTGCTGGCCCACCTGAAAGTACTTAAGCATGCGAGCTTCATTAGCACTTGTGGCTTTGCCTCCACTTATTCTTAGAACTACCTCCCTTCTGAGCAGGCTTAGCTGCTTTGCTTCTAGTTCATGTCTAAGTCCTTTATAGATTTAGAAACTAGATGCTGTGCTCTCCTGGGAGAGGATGCCTCTGACAGACATTTTCAGACACAGAACAAAGCACAGCAAGATATCCATTGTTGCAAAGGAAAAAAAATGCTTAGTTTTCATTCTTCTGGAGTTCTTCTAACATGCTGGGGGAAAAAAGGTATGATCCTGTCATCACTGTTGTTTTTGTGCTGCTCCCAGGGATTTCCCACAACGTAAGAATGATTTTCTGAACCCAAGTGCTGTTTGGGCTTGCAGTGAGTGTGTAACAGGAGTGCAAAAGACCCACTGTTACACCAGTGAGTAGAAAGTGGGTCACTTGCATAGGGTAAATCCTCAGCACACCTGGATGTTTGTGTAACCTAGTAGTAATTTAATTACAAGCTGCTGTTGAGCTGCATTTATTTGAGCAGTGCTGGTGAATCCCATGTTCTTGGACCGAGCAGGAATCAAAAGGAAGCTGTGTTATTTTTCTCTCTTGTCTCTTGTTGAAACTACACTACATTGTGTAGTTTCAAATGAAGGTTGTGCCCTTTTAGAAGATAAGAGATTGTTGAAGAGGTTGAAACTGATTGCTTTAGATTAGATCATGTGTTTTTGTTATTTGGTTCTCATTTTCAGTCAGACTGTCTAAGCTGAGATCACAGACTGTAGCAGTTTCAAGGTGGTGTGCCCACCATGCTTGTTTGTGCTAGTCTGTGCTCTGCCTGCATTAACTACAATCCCAGTGTTGTGGAGAAGAGTTGATGAAGAGCTGATCTGGGAGCAGACCTGCTGTCCCACCCAGCCACGCTGTGACCATGGCTAAGATATTTCCACACTGTGCCTTGGTTTACTGAGTGAGGGTGATGGTTCCTGTATGCTCTTGCTAAGCAATCTGCAGAAGGAAAGTGTGATGAATTATGGTTTGAATAAGAGTTCTCAGGGTGTATTTGTATGGCTTCTTGCCTGAGACCATTGTGGAGAAAGTGTATAAATATTGTGCAGATCTTGAAAGAAGAGCCCCAAAGGACTTTCTATCTCATTTATCTAATCCTCTGAACCATCCAGTGTCTCAGCTCTAGGCGCCGGACTTTGGGTGAGCTCAGCAGTTGTTTTGCATTATCCAAGTAAATTTGTTTTAACAGGCGAATGGGTAGGATGGGTGACTAAAAGAGAAAAGAAGAAGAAAAAAAGAAAAAGATAAACTTACTTGGTGTTGTCTTTTCACAGTATCAGCACTTTGCAGGCCAGTTCTGGGATATGTGCTTTGCTTTCATGTGGTGGTATTGATGCTGGGCACTGCTGAGCAGGGCTGTGTCTATTAGAACCACATGGGAAGTCTTAAAGCAACTTTAATAGAAAACTTCTGGGGCCTGTAGGAATTTATCTTCCTTCCTCCATTTCTGTGCAGCCTTGAACTTCACAACTTTCCAAAGCCAGGAAGGCAACTAAAGGGAAGGGCAAAATTAAATCTGTAATGAGATCCTTATTGTATTCTAAATATGATCAGACATTTGTTTGCAGTTACAAGCAAGCAAATAACCTGTGAGGTATGGACCTTGTGTTTCAAAACTGTGTCATTAAAAGTGTAGTGGACCTGTGGACTGGTTTGTGAGAGCATACTGCAATCCTCTGTGTGATAAAGCAAAATTGCTGGACTGGGGCTGAGCAGAAGGTCTGTCTATAACCCTTTGTCACCCTAAAGCACTGTATCATACAGGACATGGACGCTTTTGTAGTCCTCAGTACTGCTATGTAACAGAGCCCTGGGGCTGTCTGGAGGAAATGGAGACTTGTTTTAGTTCAGGGACAGATGTAGATATATTGAAGGCGCTTTTAATATATCTTTGAGGGGGGTTTAGCTTTGCAGACAGCACTTTCTTTTTTGGAGACAATGTATTTGTCTTGAAGCACTTGGAAGCCCAGCTTGCTAGTGATGGGTCCAAACCAAATTCCAGACCTTGCTTCCACAGATGGGGAAGTTTGAGTCCTGTGACTTGGCTCCCTCAGGTTCCTTCTGGAGACTTACAAGATGCAGGACTTTGTGCTCTAGTCTCAATTCTTACAAATGTCCCTACTGTAAAGAAAGATCTCCTTTGTAGCACCTTTTTGCTAAAGTGAGTAGCTGTCACTTGTGCTAACAGGCACCATATGTGAGGCCTGCTAGGATCTACAGAATTAAGTTCCCTTTCATATTTGCTTTGAACCATCTCCTGAGTGTGCTCTTTCCCATTGTGCTGGTAAATGCTTCCCAAAACTAATCTTCCCCACATGAAGCCCTGTTTTGGCCAGCAGCCTTGTGCTAAGGCCAGATATTATTCCTCATGAAAGGAAAAGGGGGAGTAGGAGAGGAGAGAAAGAGAACATACACAAAATCCTTACTGTACAGGGCAGCTTTGGTATAACCTCTTGTCCCGTCTGCCTCCTCCCACACCTCAAAGGGGAAAGACAAAGTAAAATGGACCCAGAGAGCTGTCATCTTCAACTCCTGTTTGGATAGTTATTTCAGTGGCATAGGAGATTGCTTAGGAAACCCTTTCTTCTAGCAGAAGCCACTTTCTCAGCTTTTCTTCCTGGCTTTCACTTCAACTTTTATCTATTCTACTGAAAATGAGTTAGATTTTTAATTGATTTCAGTTGACATAGCACCCATTGAGTCAGTGAGGCTGTGAGAACTTCCAACCAGAAGCTTGCACATTATTATTTATTAGGACACAACAACTTAAAAGTTGTGCTGCATCCTCAGTAATGCAGTACAATCGCTTGTGTCTGTGCAACTAATGCCATTGTGCATGATGAAACCAGTAAGCAATCCAGCTGCTGTGAAAGAGAAATAGACACTTACTTTACCAAAGCGTTCCTAACGCGTGCTTTCTTTTGCACGCACCCATTCACAATTGATTTCACAGGTTCCTTTTATGGTTCCCAGATGCTCTATAGAGGTAGATGGCTGAGTATTTCGAGGATTTTTTTATTAAGACTTCAGGGAGAGAAGTGCATGAACCTTTGCTTTCCTGCCATAGGTGGTATACATTAATGGGCCTGTTCTCCATCTTGCATCTCCAGCATTTGTACAGGGTGAGAACAGAGCTGTGAGTAATAATAGTGATCTGAAATGTGAATCCATATCATTCTGGCACATAGCAGTGGAAATTTCAGCGTGATTCAAAATATGGATGTACTTAGTGAATGAAACCTGTTAGAACAGACCTACTAAATGCAAGTAATACTTTCCTGTGCATCGCTGGTATGCAGGGTGTTAGAGGTATAAACTGACACCCTGGGATGATTGTTGCTGCTCCAGGAATAAGATTGTCTAGAAAGACTATGACTCAGGAAGACTGGATGAAAATGGATGAGAATTGGCTCAATGAAAGGCCTTCAGCAGGTGCCAAGCCAAGATTTCAGTGTTTGTAACACCTGCTAAAGAGAAGGATATTTGCATGTTCTGTGGCTTAAAGAAGGGAGCAGAGACCTGTGAACTCTGAGCACACGGGAGAACATCCCAGCTCCTTTATTCCTGTATCTCCTCTGTTGCTTTTTAGCTGGGTGCCCATGGGTAAAGTGCTTAACTTCTGCCTCAATTTCCCCATAGGAATCCACACCTGACAGGATAGGGATCTGGATTAATAGCAGTAAAGCCTTTTGAGTTCCCCAGATGAAAAGCCTGCTTGTTTTAGGGGTGCTTGCTTTTTTTCTGAAAGGGCAGGAAAAACTGGTTGCTATTCAAGCAATTACTAAAAGTAAGTAATGCATCTTTTTTGCAATTCAGTGTGGGTGATATTAACAGATTAAAGTATACAGGAACGAGAGGTGGAAACCATCAGCTGCCTATAGGCTCAAAGGATGTCTGGATGGTACAGATATGGGATGTTTGCATAGGTGAAGGGGTCATTTCTGAGTTGTCTGCAAAGAAGTTCAGTAATTCAGGAATTCTGTCTTTAAGGAGGTTAATTAGGATGGGATTTAAATGAAATATTAAAATTGAAACTGGAGGCAGTAGTTGATAGTATATTATCAGCTGCATGCCTGTTAGGCTGGAGAAAGAATCCACAAACAAAGCTTTCAGCTTTCACAAACTGAGATTTGTTGTTGATGGTGGTCATGTGCCTCCTTGGATACCCAGCACATATATCCTTTCGTCATCTCTCCAGAGAGGTGTGTCTGGGAAAAACTTGTGCTGGAGAAAGGCAGCTGTGAAAATACTATTTGTTGAACTCGTCATTCAGTCCTGCACCTTTGTGGATTCGATGGCTGACCTGAACAGGGGAAACAACCAGATTTGCCTTCAAGTCTGCAATCCCCTCTTCCTCTCCAGTCTGTTCTCCCATAGGGCTCAACTCACACTGGCAGAAGAGAAAAGAGCCAAGCAGTGTTCCTATTGGAAATGGGATGCACTGTGGGAGCCAAAGGAGTGCTGCATCAGAACTTCTCCAAGCCCATAATAAGAAAGCAGGATGTTTTCCATGTTCTCTCTCTCCCTCTATACCCACTCAACTATGTTCCCACTGGTTGTTTTCTGTCTGATGAGAAAGGAGGGAGAGGAGAAGGTAGGAGGAAGGGAGGAGCCTGCAAAACCCAAACATATCTTTGCAGAAACTTTGCTCTTAAAATGCAGCTTTTGCTTTAAGACAGATTGCTCAGGCACAAGCCAAGGTTTGCTGCAGAAAACTATTTAATTTCTGTTTGCTTCTCTCCGCTTAAGGGTGATAAATAAAGATTTTCATTGTTACTTGTAACCACATGTGAACTCCAAATAGAAGGATTAGGAAGGGGAAAAGGCGAGGGTCATTTTTGTTCTGTTTCCCAGGACTTCGCCTGCAGCTTGGTTACATCTTTCCTAGCCTCCCTGGGTATTTTAGCGGTACATCTCTGAGAGCCCAGAATCCTGTCTGCTCAAGTAGTAGGGGTCTGGAAGGCGTTTGTGAGTCAGCAGTTCACACTTTAGTCACTCTTGGTACCAAATTAAAATCTAATAAAAGACCACTGCTGGGTTCGCCACTCAGGAGTGAAGGTGGGAAAGAGAAGGAAATTTCTAGTCGTTTGTCTGGTTTTCTGCCTTTTTTTTTGTGGTGTTTTTCAGTCTTTCTGATATGCTTCACTCATTTCCCTGTAACAAATTACATTGGCTTTTCTGTCCTTGCAGAGAAAAAGTGCTCAAGCAACCTACTTTAAAACCTTACTGTAGGTAAGACCTACTATGGTTTTAACATTTCATTAGGAAGTTATTGAAATCCAAGGTTTCTGACCTACCAGTGTTTGTCCCTTACCAAAACCCACCCTGGCTTTGCTAAACTTAGGCCAGTCTAGACTGACCCTTAAATATATAGCATTTAATTAACCATGTTAGCATCTCTTTTGCTCTCTTTTGTGTGTGCATCTTGATTAAAAGACACCATATTAATGACTCATTTTGCACGTTTTTATTTACTTTCCCAGCAGGAACCTGTAGTAATTCACCCAGTTGTTTTTCCAGCCCTTTCTTAGTGGGCAGAATGGAAAGGCTGAAACAGGGTGGGGATAAAAGCCAGCCGTGTGGAATGAACAGCTGGGAAAGGGAACAACAATCCTAGCCACAGGTGGATTCTCTAGCAAATCTTTGACAAAATCTATATGCAGAACCTAGAGGATCTCAATCACTCTCCTTCCCCTTGTTAAGAATAATAAGTTTCAGTGTGTTGCAGTGCAGTTTGCGAACTAATTTTTAAAGTACGTCTCAGCTGCTGTGTAATTTTAGGGCCTTTTGGCTTCAATAAGCTTGAACTCGATGACTGTTGAACTCTGTGGTGGTGTAAATAACATTTGTTGTTTTCTACTTTAGTCTTGCTATGGCAGAAGTCTTGGCATGAGTGAGACGTCACCTGAATATTAAGGCAACGCTAGCTCCTGAAGGAAACAGTGCTCTTGAGGATTAGCCAGCTCCTGCTTTAATGCAACTGTGGAAGCAGCGAATATAAGGAAATGCCATCTTGTCACTGCCAGTGGCAGATGTGTTTGTCCTGTGGTTATTGATACCTGCTAGGATAGCTCAGTGTCAGCTCCTCAACTACTGGTGTGTTTTAGGAGAGCTGTGCCTTGATTCTTAGATCTGTTTATATTTCTCAGACTAATAAATGCATTACAGCAGTGCTGTGCTACTATTTATCTGGTCCCCTGGCTCCTACTCTGCTCTCAACAATTAACGGAAGCATGTTGACCTCTGTAGCCCTGTTCCCATTGTGGATGGAAAACAACTTCTGCCTGCATCAATAAGTCACAGTATTTTACACCATGCTGGCCTGCACTGCAAGCAAAGGATGCAGCTGCAGCTCCTTCAGGTGTCTTGGCTGATGTCATTCAGACGTCCCTGCATGCTATTTCCATCCCTTTAAGACTTGGGTTCTGCAGCTCCTTAAAAGCTGCAGGGGTGGTGTCTGGGTTTACATGTATAATAACCTGTCCTCTTTCTCACTCACCCAATGATATAAAGGAAAGGATAGGGAGGTGAATATTTTTAACTTTGTTTGGTACATGTAAGGAAGCTCACATGGCATTTTGGATGTTCTGTTTGAGGTTATTTCAGGTGACAAAAGGTAAGAAGCCACTCGCGCTGGGAGAAGTCCCCCAAACAGGCTTCTCTCCATCCCTTTCTTTTCAGCCCGTGGTAAAACTCCCAATTACTTTTCTGTGTGAACAATAAGGAGATGTGTTTAGCAAGGAGGAGGATGGTTCTTTCCTAGCTAGCTTGAAGTGAGTCTGCTATTCATGAATCCATCTTGTGTTGCCTTTCAGAAGGCAGCACAGAACCTAAAACCCGTTGTTCCCATCAAGTTCCACATCTCCAGCCGAACAGATGCTGGCGTCCATGCACTCTGCAACTCTGCTCACCTTGACATCCAGAGGGCACCGGGGAAGCCAGCTTTTAATGAGAAACAGCTCATCTACAGTCTTAATTACCACCTGAAGCCTGAGCCAATCCGGTGAGTTGGAGGCGAGTCAAAAATATTTTATTTTGCCCTTATTGGAGAAAGGAGGAAATGCAGCGATGATCTCTCATCTTGGCCCACAAGATATATTTTCCCTTGTTACAGGTGTCAGCAAACCACTCCCTTGCACATGTGTATTTCTGCTACTGCCAGACCCCTGGCCCATTAAAGATCAGTTTTGTTCCACCGTTGTTTTCGTTAGGACATCATCTGTTCTGATACCACTAAAATAAAAGTTGTTGTGAGAGATTGGTGTCACTATTTAAGTATTTAATCCACTGGGATAACTCTAGTTTCACATGTGAGACAGGACATTAGTATGTTAACTTTCAGTGCTGCTTTATTCCCTATAAACTCCCTAATTTTCTTTGTTTATTGAATTAGCACTTAGGAGAAACTTGGCTGCAGTATTGCCTCTCACCTGTATCTATGCAAAAAGATGAAGAACAAGCAAATAAAATTACTGTTAGTGTTAGCATGGTCTACTCCTCCCTTCCCATGTGATCAGCCTCTCTTCTTCCCTGCTAGACCAAGGCTGCTAATTGACATTGTTTAGAGAAGTTACATCAAAAGCTCCAGTTTGATATTTTTGTAGTAAGACTTGATGTTTTACTCAATGGGGATAAATAAAGTCCTTTTCATACTATACCCAACTGTTAATGACTGTGGAAAGTTGCATATGGATGTAGTAAGGAACTTGATACAACAGTCTACAGAGAGTAGAACAGCCATTTCTTCTTCCTATTTTCTTCTTTCTTCTTGTTAGAGTTATTACTTCTTGCAGAATTTCAGAGGGAACTTACTTTGCATGAGACCTAGGTCTAAATGCCCACCCTCAAAGGCAGAAAAAAAAAAAAGATCATTAAACCAACAGTTTCTGTTAAGAATTTGCATCAATTACATAGGTAATTGCTACGCCCTGTGAATTTTTTCAAAAGGTGGATCGAATTTCATGTGCTTTGCTTTTCTTCCCGAGCTGTTGTGCAGTTTCTCTGTCAACTGTCGAACAGTTTCTGTGTTCTTCCCCAGACATGGGTGCGTTTGTATGGTTAAAGTGTGAATTGAATTAAACATTGGGGTTTTCGGATTAAAAGCCAAATCTGTGCTATGTCATAGAATCAACATGCCATTTGCCAGCAGCTGCTTTGCTGCGCTCTATTCTTTCTTGTGTTACGTTGTCTGATTTGCATAAAATAATAACTCTTCAAGGCACAGACTGTCTTTGTCTATACAGCATTTGGCACACTAGGACTTGAATGTCTGTATGGTACCCTACTGAAGAGTGTGTCACAGCACTTCAGAGTGTTGTGCAGGAAGATGGGTAATTTATAGGAGGTATTTAGGTGAGCAGAAGAACTTTGATGCAAGTTGCCAATTGGTAATTACTCAGAGGCCTGGGTTACTCTCCTTCATGTTACTGCAGTCTTTCTGGTGTCTGGTGGCATGAACATAAAGGAAGATTATGGAGACAAATTCCCCATGCCAGAGCAAGGTCCCAGAACAAAGCAGCACATCCCTCTCCACCCCAAAGAAGGGATTGTTGTAAGAATAGCAACATTACTATGAAGTACACTTCCCCTTCCTGCTTCACCCAGTCTCCTTTATTTTCTAATCTCTTCTTTGTGAAACAGGGCCTGGCCCAAATGCTGACATGTCAGTCCTCAAATCCCAGGCCTTGCTATCATACTTGCATCTGTTATTGGTTTTGCAAGGGAGGATTCTAGTTCTCCAGGGCTTGGGGAACAGTGAATCCAGCTGTAAGTGCATGTGCTCAAATAGTTTGGGGTCTAAGGGAGGGAAGAGATGAATGACAGTGTTTCTTTTTTCCCCAGGAGGTCTTTCACGCAAGTTCCATGTGCTGTATAAAGCAAAGAGTGAGTTAGTATTGAGTTGGTTGAAGCTGTGGTGTGCTCTGCAGAAGATGTTGATCTGCAATTCAATCAGCTGTTTTGACTTTTTCAGTGCATATTGAAAAGATTCAAGCTTTAAGCAAAGGAAGGAACCTGAGGAAAGCAATCCCAGGTGGCAGAGTATTCTGTAGCTTTGACTATGCTGATGGGCGTTCAGTACCTCTGGAAACTAGGCCCCCAGGATCAGACTGTACAGGGTGTCTGCCACTGTTTTTAGAAGCAACGAAGCAGATTGGCTGCTTCTGGTTGGCAGTAGAGATAGGCAGCTAATCCACAGATGTGACTAGGGGGTGAGGCATTCCAGCATGCCCTGGACATGCCAATGACACCTGCAGTACTGGGCAGAGTCTGGCTATGTTGCGGAAGCTCCACATCTGCATTAACATTCTGTGAAACACAGGGGAACTAGCTTGTTCCAGCACTAGCTTGCTTATATTACTGCAAGTGTTGTTGACACAACTTGCTCCAGACCTTATACTGACTCAGTGTGAATCAGGGATGGACTGAAGGAGTCATCTGGTCCCATGGTCATTGCCTAGACCATGTGCTGTGTTGGTGCAAGCAGCAGTGTTAGGTGGAGGCACTTTGCCTCCAGAGTTCTGCTATGTCGTGTCTAGAGGGCATATTAACTCTAGGGAACAAATTCCAACCTATGCCAATAGTCATGAGTGTGTGAGACAGCGGTAACTTGATGTTTGCTGCTGTGACAAGGTACATTGTGATTGGGATCCCAGCTATGTACCTTCTGTAAGCCTACGCCAAAGAAGTGTTTAGTGTCTGCAGCTCTCATGGCCTCAAGATTGGGTTTTGCAGTGGTTTCCTGCAGCATTTATGGAGTTGTATGTCAGCGATGCTTTGCATTTATTTAAATACAATGGGACCTTTTATCTGTGGGCTCTCTACTTGGTCAGTGACCGGAACAGAAGCTGCAGCAGCTGTCTCAGTCAGCTGCATTCTTTCACCTCTGAACCAGCACCAGGGGAGCCATCAGAGGGTGAAGGGGAAGAAGAATTAAAAACCTTGGAATCTGAGCTCAGGAAAGAGGGCAGGAAGGCACTGTGAGAGCCTTATTACTTGAGGCACATAGTTCCTGTTTATTATGTTGTTTTAACAGACCTTTTTCCCTTGGATGTTTACAGTTCCTTTGACAGCTCTCAGACAGTTTTGGGAATAGCATAAGGCCACTCTGCTTTTCCCCTTTGATCCTAGCAGTCTGCTGTCCGTGTCAGCTTAGTTGTTGCTGTACCTCTATGAGACACTCTTGCGATGTCTTGGAGTGGGTAAGCTCAGACAAAGGGTAGTGTGAGATGGCTGTTAATGCTGCTTGGGCTTGGTATAGAGTGTGGCTGCCATTAGGAATGCATGACTGTCAGTCCCCAGAAATCTGTAAGGGAAATTTCTCTCCCCGCACACCTTATTTGCAAAAATGTGTTTTAGCAGTTTGCAGAGTTGGTTGAGTCTTTCCCTGAAAGCAAAGAGCTCATAGTGGTTACCTGAAAGAAAAGCAAATACTGATTTCACTGCTTTTACTACACAGCCCACAGACAGCCACCCAGTAACAAGTCAGATCATGCATCCCAAACCCAAGATTGAATATTAGCATGATAATATAGGATTGACAGTTTTACACTTACAAATCCAGTTCCTCCATGGGCCTCTTGAAGTAGCAGCTAGATTCCTCTGCAGTGGAAGGCCAGAACACAAAGCAAGTCTCTCAAGCTAGCTAAGTTGCATGTGTAACATCTAGGAGTTACTGTCCCTTGAGAGCTTTCACCTTGACACGTGTGAAGAGTCCACTGTAACTGCTGTGGCTGAGGCTGGCGAGGATATCTTTTCAGACTGCTGTGTCAATTAAAAAAAAAAAAGTTATTCTGAACTAGAATTTTACTTCTGTGCGGTTTTATTTTTGCTCAGACTGAAAAGTAGGTCAGAATCTATACACCCTGGAAGTCAAATCCTTTCCAGATATTCTAGCAGTAACAGCAAACACGAAGTAGGTCACAGTTTTGATTTCCTTCCTTAAAAGACTAAAGCAGTTATTTGGGAGTCAAAACTAGCTGGTTTTGCAGCCAGAGGGTACCACTGCAACAATCAGTCTGTTCTATGTGTCACCAGCCACTGAATCTCAGTGTCTCTGCCCTGAGTTTAGGCTTGTAACTTGTGAGTTGTGTTGTCTAGCTTTAATGGAGTAAGTTGTCCTAGAGAGATAAAACTACTGTTGTGACCCTGCCAGTTTCAATCCTGGTAGTCATACAGATACATAGTTATAGCTAGCTTTGTGGTACCTTGGCTGATCGGTCCAAGAGCAAACTGGATTGGTGCTGAAGAAAGTTTTAAGTTAGAGAGCATCTCCAAAAGGAGGCAGCTGTGCGATCTCACGGACGGGAAGAATTTTTTTGTTTTGTGCTAAGATCCCACAGGTACGTATCAGGAGGTGATATCTTATGATAGAATGCAATACAGTCCTGATCAGTTAGAGGGTCTGAGTTTATCAGGATGCAGTCAGCTCTACTTCTTTCTCCCTTGGGCTGAACTTTTTAAAAATGGTTCAGCTGCTTTGCATTAAGGAGCTTGGTGATGGGCATGAGTGTAAGCGTATTCAGCAACCATCCCTTCCCTTTGTAAATATTACCTTGCCAAAAAGAATTCTCTCCTAATGCTGAAGAGAAAACCCACTTTCATGTGGTTGCAAGCAGGGGGTGATGGAGAGAGGAGTCTTTGTGAGAACACATTATTGTTGATAGAGCTTGGAAAGGAAACAAGATTCCAAGCTGGCTGACTGTATCACCAGCAATAATAACCTTCTTTGTAGTATGATAGGTCTCTTCTATCAATGATCAGTCTTTTAGATTTGCAAAGCATATTTGAAAGGATCTTGTCCACAAGGACCAGAGTATATTTCATAGATGCGGTGACTCTAGGAGGACTTTGCTGTCCCTTAAGTGGGGATGGTAATACAGTAGACTCACACATTCTATTTCTGGTTTCAGTTTTGTAAGCACATAATCAAAGCTGTCTGAGTGGCAAGAAGACAGAGCTGGAATTCCTCCCACCTCCTGCAAACTGGGATTTAGTTTCTGTTGTCAGTAGAAAGAGAAGGCTGTACTTCTGGAGGACATGTTTGTATCTAATACAGTGCCATTTCTAGTTAGATGTCTTCCAGCTTTCTTTTTCTTCAACCTCTTTTGAAATTCAGGCTCTGTTGAAAAGGTAAAGAATGCCATGAGTCTTTATTTACCAGCAGCCTCTCAAAAAAATGGGGTTTTAACCAGGCCTGAACTGTAGCTGCTGCAATAAATGCTGGAAAGACATTCCTAGCTAGAAAGAGCCTATGGTAGCAATTGCATTTGCCAGGAGAGGCAGGAAAGGATGCCTGCATGGAAGAGTCATGGAAGCATAAATAGGCTTTTCAGAAAGAATCGCTATCAGAGGGACTAAAAGGATGTTTATTTAATAAAAATCACATAAGCGTTAACAAGAGAAGCTCAAGATAAATTAAATGCTTGTGGAGGCATGTAGACAGAGGAAAATTCGTGTAATAATTATTGTATTTAGAAGAGGCTGGAGGTCCTAGGTTTAAACTCCATTGCAGGCCTGGAGGATGTAGTCTGCGTTTCTACTGAGATTTTATAGCTTGTTATTGCTAATCTTTGTGGAGGCCTGTGGCTCAGCTTTAATTTCTTCTTCTGTGGTCTGAGCCTTTGCAGTCAAGGGATGTTAGCCAGAGGCACTTGAGCGGGCAAAAATCCATGAAGTGCCAACATTTTAAAGTAAATAAATAGGTTTGTCTATTACTTGGTCCTAAATGATACTGTATTTTTTTGGTTGCAAAGCTCCAAAGACAGAAAGGCATACAGCAGGAGAAAAACTACCTTCTAAGGAAAGGTGTCTTCTACAGTAACACCTGCAGAGGATTATGCCTGGTAATAGTGACTTCTTGCTGTATGCTCCCTGCAGTATAGCGAGTAGCCAGTACTCTGGGGTAAGGGAAGATCAAATTCAGTAAAAATTGCTGCTGACATGCTCAAATCAATGATAACACTTTGGGGGAGGTGCAGAAACACAGGGAAGCTCTGTTTTCTCCCTTGCCAGAGAGAAGGATGTTTTCTTCTCTGACAGCCTGCATACCCTCCTTACTGCCTACCAAGTTGTCTGTGTTTGATGGTAATGGTGATACTGTCTTAGAGAAACAAGGCAATTTCTCCCTGTTGCTTATAGAAGAAAACAGGGGAGTTCAGCTGCCTAGAAGGCTACTTCTTGAGTTAACTGCCCGGTGCCAGTGGAAGATAGGTAGACGTGAACATTCCCAAAAGCCATTTTCTGCACGCATGAAACACAAGGGTTCCCAGGAGGTCTCCTGCATGCAGCATTCTGCTGTTTTCAGATAGACTTAATCTAGGCGATGGTGGGATGCACTTTTATTTTCATGGCTGCAGCAAAGTCCTATTTGTCTTGGTGGTTGTGGGAGGGAAGTGACCTAGGTTCAGCTACCTCCATCTGCCGCAATGAGCTGCGTAGCTGCCTCTGAGAGGGGGGCATAGAGGTAGCGGTGGTTGCAGGAGTCCTTCCCACTAATGTCTGGGACCATGGTTCTGCAAAAGCACAAAGTCAAAGTGTTTGTAAGGTGTGTTCCTCACCTGAAGGTGGAGGGAGTTAGCTTGCTTTGGGAAGTTGATGCCTCTCAGTTTAAGCATGGCTAGGAACACATGTGCCCTCAGCCAGATGCAATATAGTTTGATGGACTGGGTGAGGTATTTGGTTTCACTATGCAACAAAGAATACATGCTATCAGTGCCATTTGTCAACTGAAGGACTGATTTGTCTTAGCTTCTTGTGATGGTGTGAGCATCCCCAAAACTTGTTGATAGATGACCCAAAGTCAGTTTCACTGTGTATTTGATGACAGGAGTAATGCCGAGTTTCTTCTGCCACCTTCTAGTTGATAGGTGCCTGTGGCAGCCTATGGGTGCAAATCCTTGGTCACTGGTTAGTCATTGGCTATCAGGAGAGAATGATATTTAATGAATTGTAAGTGCAGTTTCTCAAAGAATCCATTGCATGTTTCAGTTCTCATTTATGTGGTGACCAGGCAAAAGCTTTTGAATTAGTGTATGAAATTTCTCTCCATTTCACTCTTTCTCTTCTGTCCTAACAGCATTTTGAATGTCTATCGAGTGACCAATAGCTTCCATGCACGCTTTTCTGCACTATCAAGAACCTACATTTATCGGCTGTTGATGGGCTGCACTCATCATTCTGAAATACCGGTGTTCGAAAGGGATCTCTGCTGGGCTCCTGCAGGAGGGTAAGTGTTCCATTAAACCTCCCTGGGGAGCTACCTCATCAACACTTTGGAAAGGCTTGGCTTTTGGGGGAAGTGGGGAGGGGCTAATTTCCACATATGAGACCACATTCCCTGTTTGTGTTGACAAGATTTCCCTGTTGAAATCAGTGCAACTGCATTGAGTTATGTTCACTGAGACTTACAGCTCTTCTTAATTGTACTGTCAGTTGTACCTGTGATAAACATGCTTAGCACTGCTGAAATAATGACACTGGCTAGAGTCCATCAACAACTTTGTGTGTCCCTCGCCATGGAATTGATGCGCATTTCCTCAGATGACCTTGCCAATTCATACAGCAAACCCATTTGGACAGCTGGCTGAAGGAACAGTGCTCTGACATGATGCAGACAGGGAGAAATGCATTGCATAGCAGATCTCAGAGTTTTAGGTGTGACCATTACAGGCAGTCAAGAATGAAGGCTGAGAATTCC